AAAGCCTGTATCCTTTATAGGAGTGGAGTTTACTATAATAATGGCACCTTTGTGTTGAGAGTTCATTCCTTTATTCTGTGATTAAATCTTGACTTATGTGGGGCAGAAGCACCTCACTACAATCACAGCTTGAGTTATTCTGCAATGCAAGGCAAGATGGGAAACGTTGTTGTGTGTTTTGGTGATGCCCAGACCATTCAGAGCTTATGGTTTTCATCTATCCCTCCATTTATTAATTTATTCATTTCATTATCATATGTCTGAGTCCCTATTACATCATCTAGAAAATGGGCAGAGTAATATTACCATTAGCAAAAGGCTGTTTTGAGAAGTAAGATAATTTCTAGAATGCATATTGTCTAGCACATAGTAAGCCCTTACTCACAATAATTATTTTCTTCAAACAAGTAATTCCAAGTACCCCATGGGAAGACAAAAAAATGGTTCTTTTATAGCCCTATTTATGGGTGGAGAGGGCAAGGTTGCTTCTGAAGGGTAGATTAATTCTTGGGGAAGAGGCAGATCCCTCAGATTAAAAACTGGAACAGAGCAGATGGGTCTCAGGTAGACCAGAGAGGGGTTCTCTGAGTTTGGACTATGAAGTATCAGGAGAGCTAGGAAGGTACTGCTGGGTAGTGGATGTTAAATTGATACGAACCACTTAGAAATGGGCTGGGGATGAAGAGACAGAGAAAAGAAACATAGACAAAATTCAGATAAAATGGGGTGGAGTTCCTAAGTCCTACACATCTACCTAGTTATGGTAGAATCAAAGCCTTATACACTGATAGGCCAGCCTGTTTAAATTCCCTACATTCTGTTTATTTCCCTGTTACTCTTCTTTCATATCGAACACAATTTTTGTCCAAGTTCCTACCTGTCACATCAGTGCTCAGGATATGCCAGAGACAGTGTTTAGAAGGAAGCAGCCAAACCTGGATGGAGCCACAGAGCAGTAGGAACACCTCTGAGAAGCGCAGATACAGAGAGAGCCTCTTTCTGTGGCTCCCTGGGGATGAGATGAGTTTGATGTTATCAGGAAACTCATTTCAGAGAGCTCCTTGCAGTTTCAGTCTTTTGTGTGCCCTAAAAGCCGGGTTTAAAATCTCTCCCAATTCAGACACCAAATGCAGAAACTGTTAAGAAAAATGTTGATAGATTTCATTTCATAAAAGGTAAAAAATTCATGTGACAAAAAACCACCAAAACCAAAACCAAAACTGAATGACAGGCAACAGATTGGAAGAAAATATTTGCCAACTATAATACGTTTTAACATTATATTATAATAAGGAATTTCCATAATGTACAAAGATCTCTTCTAAATCAGTAAGGAAGGGGCGCTTGGGTGGCTCAGTGGGGTAAGCCTCTGCCTTTAGCTCAGGTCATGATTTCAGGGTCCTGGGATCGAGCCCCGCAGCGGGCTCTCTGCTCAGCAGGGAGCCTGCTCCCCCCACCCCATCTCTCTGCCTGCCTCTCTACCTCCTTGTGATCCAATGGACAAAAGGTATAAACAGGTAAATTCAGAAGAAATAGAAACACAAAATATTCATCTTCAGTAGTAATGACAGGTCTACAAACGAAAAGCAGCTGTCATTTTGTTTGCCCATCAGATTGGCAAAAATTAAAAAAAGCTTATAGTAGTGACTTCTGGAACATGTAAAGGGATATTCAGAGTTTCTTCTGATAGTGAGAATGTAAACTGGTATAGTCTTTTTAAAGGAGAATGTGACAGTATCTCTCACTACTTAAAGTATGCCTACCCATCAATACAACAGTTTCAAGTCTAGGAACCTATGCTATCAAAGTATGTCTACACGAGGGCAAGAATACAAGGATATCAACTGTAACAATGTTTGAGACACTGAAAAAAAAATACTACTAACATCTAACATTTATTAGTGCTCTTCTAAGCACTTTGTAACAGATGATATAAGGAAGCCGAGACTACAGCTAGGGTGTAGAAACAGCGGGATTTTAGCCCAGTTTGTCTCCAGAGTCTGCTATTAACTCCAATGCTAAGAGATAGAAAATAAAGGTCTGGTATATCCGTACCATGAAATACAGTATAGCAGTTCAAAAGAATGAGGTTTACAGACATGGAGACCAAAGACATATTATTAAGGGAAAAAATTCAACTTGCAAAAGACTATAAGGTCAGATGTATGGGAAAAAAGATACATTTGTGTGTATATAAAAATACATACGTATGAGAATAAGATAAAGGCCTTGACTGGCAAGAGAACTCCTGTGGTGGTGTGTAGGGAGACTTGAAAGATTAATTTTTTGAGGCATGTTTTTACCTGTGATTTCTTTTAACTTTTACAAGAATGCATTTGTGCGTTACTTTGGTAAAAAAAAGAATTGTTGGGTAGAACAAAAAAATAAATAATAAAACAAAAACGGTTTAACTCATATCAAGAGATCAGTTTTTTTCCTATGTAGACCATGGTGCACATCTTGGTTAACAATCTTCTACAGTATGGCCTTTCCTAGTATATGCAGAAGATGCCTTTTCTCTGTATCTTGCTGATCACTACCTGTTCTTTTGAAATAAGGTGTTTATGTCCAGTATTTAGGACCATGGCTCCCTGTTAGCCCACCACGCTCCATAAAAATATACAGCCAGTTATTGAAAAATTAATTTGGAACCTGAGAATCACCTGGTCATCCTTTTGCTTTGCGTATTTTATTATCTTCAGGGAAAAGGATCTATAATCATGGATTATCTCTAATTTTGCCCCAGTGCAACAGCAGAAGTCTCTGGCTCACTTTGTTTTCCTGGTGTGATTGTAGAAGTTTGAATGAGTCACTCAACATACAGATTTAAAGGGCTTACCTTAGGACCAGCAGTCAGTGTTATTATCTAAGAGGAAAAGGCTATATTGGATGGTTCAGGGCCTCTTCCTGCCTAAGTCCAAGGGTGGGTGGCTTTAACACAAAGCAAAAGATGCTGCTGGTGGAACATTGACTGATTAACTTGCTACTTTTACAAGGTTACAGCTTTGGAACTCAGCTGCAGATCTCTGTGAGCTTATCTCTGACATGCTAGTGGGAAGAGCTCTTGAGATTCTTACTACTTAATGGAGAGTAGATTAGTGCTTTTTTACAGTGGTCCAGCTAAGAAGTTTCTCAATTTTTGAAATTTTAATGTTCTCTTAAGCACCTTTATAGAAAAAAAAAATTCTTCACTTAAAAACAACCATATTCTCTTGTTCTTGCAGCTGCTCATTTTACATAGTTTTTAGTGGATACAAACTATTTTCTATCTGTTGTTCATGTAACCCTACTTCCAATACATCTTTTCAGGTACTTGCCAAAATTTCAGGCATTTGACATAAATCCAACATACCTGCCGGGATTCTGTTAATGTGACAGAGTTTGCTTAGATTATCCCCCAACCGTTGGACAGCTGGGCCCCTTCCCAGGTTTTGGTCATTATGAACATTCCGAACAGCCCCGCTATAAACATCTTTATGCAAGTTCTCCGCCCCCCTTTCCACCCTGGATTATTTCCTTAGACATGGACTTCCTTAAATGGATTTACTGGGTCAAAGGGGCTCAGTGAACAACTTCATAGCTCTTGGCACATATTTTTCAGATTGCGCCCTGGGTGGATCTGACCAATGGCACGGGCCGCGAGAGGGTAGGAATGCGGAGGAGCAGCCCCTATAACCGCTCTTCTTCCGTCCCCCAAAAGGCAAGGACCCGGAGAAGGCCTGCGGATGGAAGCCTTTTTCCATCGCCCTCTTATCCTCTTCCTGATCAGTGTTTATGCCCCGGCTGGGAGAAGACAGCTGCGGACCAGCACGAAGGTTTTCGGCTTCCAGGACTTCTGCCCTGGGGCTGAAGCAACTCTTCCCGGCCCTCCTCACCCGGACTAGGGGTCCAGTTTCCGACTCCCACGGCACACTCCCCCAGCCTTTCCACTAAAACCTTCCCGGCCCAGGCAGGCCCCTCGCCAGCGCAGAGCCCAGCAGGCGAGGGCAGCGACTGGCGGTCGCTATTATTTTGGCGCGGGTGATGCAAGGCCCGCATAGCTGCGCGCTGAGTCAGCGGGGGCGGGCCGACCCATCCCCCTCCAACCTTCCCCGACCCCCCGGGCGCGGCGGCGGCGGCGGCGGCGGGACCGGGCAGTGGGGGGGGGGGGCCGGCCCTCGAGTCCACGGAGTCGCCCTCCCGGGCAGGGTCAGGCAGGAGCAGGGTCGCGAAAGACCCCAGCCCCAGGCGCGCTCTCCCCTCCCCCCCCGCTGGAGCGAGGCGGATCAAGCGAGGCGGTCACCGCGCGCCCGGCCGTTTGCCCTCGGAGAACTCAAAGAGGGGGAGGAGGAAGCGGGGAAGTAAGGAGGATCCAAAAGGAGAAACGCGAAGCGGGACCCGCGGGAGGAAAAGGAAAAAAATGGACAAGGGACGACAGGAGGCGGAGGCCGGCGGGCGGGGGCGGCGGCGCGCGCGGCGGGGCGGGGCGAGCGGGGGCGCGCGCCGGCGGCCGCGGCCCGAGGGGCTTGTGGGTAGCGGCTGCGCGCGGCCGGAGACGGGAGCCGTGCGGGAGCGTGTGAGGGGAGCGGGCTTGTGGGACCGAGGCTGCCCCGGCGAGCATGGGGGCGGGCTGGCGGTGGCCGTAGTTGTCCGAGCCCGGGCTTCAGCCTCTCGGAGCGCCAGAGGGCGGGGCGGCCCACCCCGGCGGTGGCCGCGCCGCTTCCCCGCTCCCGCCCTCGAAATCCTGAGGGAGCTCGCGGCGGACGAGCGGACCGGGCGGCGCGAATCTGACTGAGGGGCGGGGACGCCGTCTGCTCTTCGCGGCTCCCGGCCGGGCCGGGCGGCCCCCCGGGACCACCCCAGGCCCCGGACAGGCGCTGAGAGCCGAAGCCGGAGCTCGAGGCGGGCGGTGGGCCGTGGCGGAGCCCCGCCCGGAGCCGGCGGTTCGGGGGCGGCGCTAGGCCCCGAGGCGCCCGGGCCGGAGCGCGGGGAGCGGGAGTGCGGGGCCGGGCGGCGGCGGCATGAGCCGGCCCCCGGCGACGGGGAAAATGCCCGGCGCCCCCGAGGCCGTGCCGGGGGACGGGGCGGGCGCGAGCCGCCAGAGGAAGCTGGAGGCGCTGATCCGAGACCCTCGCTCGCCCATCAACGTGGAGAGCTTGCTGGTAGGTGGCCGGGGCGCGGGCGCCCTCCCCGCTCTCGTAGCGCCTGCCTCAGATCCCCCACTCTGTGCCCACCCACCCGTGGGAGGGAGGTCTCGCCCCACCCCGTCCCGCTTCCGGCAGCCGGGCCCGGGTGGGAGGCCGGAGACTTCTGCGACCAAGTTCCAGCAGTAGAGACCCGCGTTTGGTCCTTCCCCTTCTCCCTCCTGGAGCTGGTGTCATCCCCGGCTGCCTCCGTCTCGGAGCCCTGGGAGGAAACACCCCTCTTCTCCTTCCCGCCTCCTCCCTCGCCTTGGGGAGGTCGGGAGCAGGATTTGCGGTCTTAGATTCACCGGACTAGGCAGTTTGGAAGAATGGCATGCTGCGTGGGGACGTGGGTCGAAGCAGGGAAACCTGATGCTCTCCCTGTTGGGAGTACCCACCGGGGGTAGATGACAAAGAGCCAGAGCCCAAGAATCGGTCTGAATTGTCGAGGAGAACAAATCTCTCCTTTTCATTGCGTCTCTTTCTTAAGGCAGGCTGTGGAATACAAACTAATCACTTCGTGCAGGCTGCGAGTTGGCTCTTGCTTAAGAAAGGAGTATGTTTCACGAATTAGAAATGCACCAGAGGATGCCTTCTTATTTCTTATTTTTGTTAGGATGGACGATTGTATTTCACAGTTTAGTGTGCAGTAGGGATGTATTTATGGGAAAAGGGGGTGCGGATGGTTACCCCGGGGAGGAGAAGGAACTGGAAAAGGTGCTCTGGATATTCAATTAACTCGGGAGGGCTAGAATTTGTGTGGGTGATTCTTGGACCCTTTAGGTATTCTCTACCAGAACTCCTGTGCAGTCCTCGCGGCTGGGAGGAAGCTAGTGACTGACTGTATGCTGAGAAAAACTGGGTCTCCTCCCTTGCCAGTGATTAACTGACTTTTCTTCAGAAGTCATTGGTTTTCCTTTGAGGTTTCTGGAATCATTTGCAGAGTGACTCAGTGGTGTTTGGCCAAAGTGCAGGAACTGACCCAAGAGTGTGTCTCTCTGTACCATGAGCAGAACGTAGTGATGTCCTGTGTTCTGTCGGAGGTCTTTGACGGTGTCTTTCACCGCTTTTCGCATTCGTGTGTTGTTTGTGTGTTCTCGTGGCGTGGTGACACCCTGCTCCCTCTTTAGCAGTCTTCGTCTGGGTGTAGGACTGGTTGCATGGAGGGCATAACTTCTAGGCCAAAACAGAGACTCCGGGCTTCACTCCCAACATTTTCACTTTGGTATTTTGCTAGCAAAACTTTGACCCAAGGCCAGAAAGTTCAGTTAAAAATAGTACCGCAAGTATTCATCAGGTTCAGATTCAATCCCAGATAGAATTTTTTTGCGGCACTTTTTTACTGCACTTTCGTCTCGTGGGTCTTTACTGATGTTAATTACAATTATTCGGGTTATTCTGTGCAGGATATCAGAATATCCTAAGCTAATTATTCCTGTAATATGTTCATCCATTCTGTTTGTTAAAGTATTTTCTAAATTATTAAAATGAAGGCTGTTTTTAAAAGTGAAACATTACACGTTTAGTAAACAATTTGGTCCATCCATTTATTGAGTGCTCAAAACAGCCAAGACACTTTACACTTTAGTTAAGGTGATGTATTGTTGGTGTGAGAATTGACATTAGATGTTGCTGACTGGGCAGACTCTGCTATTGCTGTTTTTAGTTCATTAAATATTGTGGTTCTGAGTTGAAGTAAATCTTACCAGACCAAAAATTGTCCCTTACTCTTTTCCTTGGAACAAGGTTGCACTGCTTCTATTGCAAATTGATGAGCTGAAAAATTTTTTAAAGCTGTGTTATAGTAAGTTAGCTTTAAATTATGTGTATTGGACAAAATAGTAGAATGAGTTTGGCTTTTTTGTGCTAACATTTACCTAAAATTTTACCATTTTAACTATTTTTAAGTGTTCAATTCAGTGGCATTAATTACATTCGTGTCATTGTGCAACCATCTCCACTATCCATTTCCAGAAATTTTTGTCTTTCCAAACAAACTCCATGAATTAATCTTTTTAAAAATTAACTAATTAATTTTTAAAAATAAACATATAATGTATTTTTATCCCCAGGGGTACAGGTGTGTGAATCGCCAGGTTTACACACTTCCATGAATTAATCTTTACAAAGACTGTTATAAAAACATATTTCCTGAAATACTAATGAAATAATGGCTGAGATCACTTTAAAGATTTGATACCTTGTGATTTAGCCTGTGCATCACAGTTGATCATCGTTAGCATTTCTTCTGGTTTTACTCTAGAAAATAAGTATTTTTTCTTAACCGAGAAAACTTAAGTAATATAGTCAAATAAAAACACAGCCATGAATATTAGTTACTTCATTTAGCAGCTCAGAAAGTACCATTTAAAATTCTATACCAAGATGACAAAAGTATGAAGATGAAATATACCAGAAATTACTGTAGAATTATTCTTAGAAGGTAAAATTCTCTTTGTAGGAAAAAAATGTTAGGTGAGATTACATGCAAAGTGCTTAGCTCAGTGCTTGGTCATAGTAGTGCTATTTCGTTTAGCTCATTTCTGTGTGCAGTTAGCATAGTTAATTGCTCTAAGTTTCCTTTGAAAAGGAAAATGGTTTTATTGGCAACCATTTCTTGCTATATAATTTTGAGTGTGTAGCATTATAATTTGTACTTGTCATCAGAAAAGTGCTAGCAGTCATCAGGCATGGGTAAAGCTGGATTCTAAGACTGTGTCAGTGTTAAAGCCCTAAATTGTTTTTTTTTTCTCTGCAGATGCTCCTTGCTTTACATAGGTCCTTAAATTAACCTGAAGAGAGTATATCCCTTTTGTAGTTACAGATTATGGGCTGCTTGGTATTATTTAAAAATAGGTTTTGTTTTGTTTTTTAAAGATTTATTATTGGAGAGAGAGAGAGTATGGGCAGGGCCGGCGGGGTGGGGTGGGGGCGCAGGGGGAGTCCGGGACAGGGGCAGAGGGAGAGGAGAGAAACCCAGGCAGACTCCGTGGAGCACAGTGTCTGACCAGGCTCGATCTCATGACCCTGAGATTTCAACCTGAGCCAAAACCAAGGGTGGGACGCTTAACTGACTCTGCCGCCCAGGCTCCCCAAAAATAGAGTTTTGGGAGAGGTTTGTTTCTGTAATACTTTTTCTGAGGGGAGGGACTTGAGTGGTATGGTTTTGCAGGATTTGAAACTTTTTGGTAAACACCCATGTTTTGTTCTCAAGACTCAACTTCTCATACTGCTTTCCCAAATAATATGGTAAAAAGAACTGTGCTTTAATATTATGCCAGAGAGATGTCTTTCTTTCTATCTTTTTTAAGATTTTATTTTTTAAGTAATCTCTACAACCAACATGGGGCTTGAACCTACAACCTTGAGATCAAGAGTTGCATGCTTTACTGACTGAATCAGCCAGGTGCCCCTGAAGATCTTTCTAAAGATCTGTGCCTTTGGGTTTTGATGTGTTTTCCTGAAAGAGTAAATGGTTATAATAACCTGGGATTCAGACTTGAGTAAACTGTTACTTAAGACTGGTGTTGGGCTCCTGGATGGCTCAGTCGTTAAGCGTCTGCCTTTGGCTCGGATCATGATCCTAGGGTCCTGGGATTGAGCCCCTGCTTCTCCTTCTCCTACTCCCCCTGCTTGTGTTCACTCCCTCACTGTGTCTGTCTCTGTCAAATAAATAAATAAAAACTTAAAGAAAAAGACTAGTGTTGATGGGGAAGGGTGGTTAAAATTTTATTTATGAATTTCAGTGACTTGGAATACAAAAGTGCTTCATTTGATTGATTTCATTATGCCAGTAAACTGTATGAAAATGCTTCTTATCACAGTGCTTAGATTTCAGCTTGGTACTGGTTATCTGCCTAATTAAAATTTTATGTATATTTTTTCTACTGTTTAATAAGGATGAATATTATAAAGGTAGAATAAAAATTGAGAAGTTGTTTTATACATGTTTTTCTTTTGCAAAATAAAAGTTGCGTGTTTATAGTATAAATGGGATTACTTTACTTTAAAACTGGTGTTTTGGGGCACCTGGGTGGCTCAGTGGGTTAAAGCCTCTGCCTTCGGCTCAGGTCGTGATCCCAGGGTCCTGGGATCGAGCCCTACATCGGGCTCTCTGCCTGCCAGGGAGCCTGCTTCCCCATCTCTCTCTTCCTGCCTCTCTACCCACTTGTGATCTCCATCTGTCAAATAAATAAATAAATAAAAATCTTAAAAAAAAAAAACAAACCTTGTGTTTTGATGATCATTAAAGACAATGAATTAGCTAGAGAGGTTTAAAAAAGTGATGTATGGAATTTGCTTTGAACCTCTTTGAAACCTCTTTGAACCTCTTTGAAAGTACAGGTCCACAGTACCTCACCCACAGTTTTGCTATATAAAGAATCCTGAAAACCAAGTTTTGGTAAAACTTACCTGATTGTAACATCTGACCTGATCTGATGTTAGAATAATTATAATCACTGTGTCCCTCTTGGTATAATTGGAATAGCTTTCCTTGGAGAAATATTAATGTGTTTGATTTCAGGGTGACAGCAGATTTGCAGGAGGACTTTTAGGAATGTACTGAATATGGTATATGTACTTTATTACCATTCTAAAATCCAGGAAATTCTTTTTTTTTTTTTTTTAAGATTTTATTTATTAGAATGAGAGAGAGAGAGAGCATGAGAGGGGGAAGGTCAGAAGGAGAAGCAGACCCTCTGCTGAGTAGGGAGCCTGATGTGGGACTCCATCCTGGGACTCCGGGATCATGACCTGAGCTGAAGGCATTCGCTCAACCAATTGAGCGACCCAGGCGCCCCAAAATCCAGAAGATTCTGAATTCAGAAACATCTTGCCCCAACGTAAGGCCAGTGTAGACTTATATACATCTCAAACACTGTTGTTATAAAGAAATAGTGAATAATCTTGAAACCTAAATTGTTGCTTTGAGTCATGATCCAGTAGTCCTCTTTTCCCATTTTGAATTCTGAAATATT